TATCCTCACCTGATCCCTGAGCCTCTCTGTTCTGAGAGTCAACAATAACAATCATAGTAATAGTTACCAACTATAAGAACCTTCCATAAACATAGTTAAAAACTGATTATAGTTTAGAAAATCAGCACAGGGTTTCTTTTTTGTGTGATGCAACTATTCTATAATCGATTGTGATGATGGTTGCCCTACACTGTGAATACATACTAAAAAAAGCAATGAAATGTACATTTTAAATGGATGAATTGCAGGTATCTATATTATATCTCAATAAAGTTGTTATATTAAAAAAAAAAGACAATTGGCTGTTAAAAGCAAAATAACAACAAGGTATTATACGATTAGTATGTAGAAGTAAAATATAAGACAAAAAAACACAAATGAAGAGAAAGAAGGTAATTGGAATTATACTGTTGTAAATAAGGTTCTTATACTACACATGTAGTAGTGTATTAGTACTTAAAAGTAGATTGCAATAACTTAAAAATATGTATTGTAATCTCTAGAGCAACATCTAAAAAAGTAATACAAAGGGTAACTCAAAAAGTCAGTACAAGAGATAAAACACAACAGTGAAGAAAATGGGGAAAAAAAGCATTAAAAATAAGGCAGAAAGGAAGAGGGAAAAAAGCAAAGAACAAAAATAGGACAAACAGAACACAAATACTACAATAGAATACACAACTATCAAATTTGCATTACCGTATTTTTACTCAAATAGCATGCAACTTCTGCATTTGTTTGCCAGCCACACTCTCCCCATCGAGGGGTATTTTCATAAACAAGCAATGCTAATTATTTTTACAGTAATGTGGAAGACTGGCATAGTGGCGCTTGTGAAGTTGCTTCACTAGGGGGGAGGGGGGGCATGGTTGGTGAACAAACACAGAGGATGTGCATTATTTGCATAAAATATAGTATACAAAAATAGTTCAATCACTTTAATTAAAAAACAGCACCAAACTTAATGCAAAATAAAGACCCAATATATGCTGTTTATAACATGTATACTTTAAATATACAGATACAAATAGATTGAAAGTAAATGGATAGAAAAAGATATATTACGTAACCACTAAGCTTAAGAAAGCTGAAATAGTTATACTAGTATCAAAATAAACTTTAGAACAGGGGTCATTGCCAGAAATAAAGAACATCTCATAATGATAAAAGGCTCACTTCACCAAGAAGACATATTTATGCACCTAATAACAGAGTTTCAAAATACATGAAGCAAGCAACCATCTCAGATACAACTACTGGTCTCTACTGTCTAGAGCAAAAGAGAACGAAGGAAACCAAAGACTCAAAAGAAGAAACTAGTCTACAGGACTAACAGTCTACATGAACCACAGCCTCACCTACCTTGAGACCAGAAGAACTAGGTGGTCCCCGGCTACCACTACGGATGGTTCCAACCAGGGACACAACAGACGGTCCCAGACAGAATGAGAAAAAATGCAGAACAAGACTCCAATCCTAAAACAGGCCAGACTTACTGGACTGGTAGATACTAGAGGAATCCCCAAGACTATCGTCCTGGGATACCCTTTAATCTCAGAACTCAAACCACTCTGGGAGGTCACCTAACAGCCAAAAGACAGAGTGGCTCATAAAATAAATATCAGTACTGTGCTCCTCTAAACAATCATCTAACGGTCAACATTTACCCTAGACCAAAGATGAGAAGGTAAGAGGGGACAAGGAAGCCAGATTAATGGAAACAGAACAACCAGAAGGGAAATAATGAGAATACTGACACATTGTGAAGTGTAACCAATGTCACTGAATAATATGTATAGAAATTGTTAAATGAGAACCTAATTTGCTATGTAAATTTTCTCCGAAATCACAATTTAAAAAAAAAAAAAAATACACGGAGCAAAACCTAACAAAACTGAAAGGAGAAACACGAAAACACAACTACACTTGGGAGGTTTCAACATTATCCTCTAAGTGATCACTAGAAAAAGCAGAAAGAAATCAATAATGATTTAGAAGACTTAAACCACCCTGCCAGCCAACTTGACCTAACTGAAATTTATAGAACATGCCACCTAACAACTGCAGCATACGCACTCTTTTCAAGTGTGCGTGCAACATTCACCCAAGGGATGCTGGCCCGTAAACAAATATTGATAAATATGAAAGAATTAAAATCCAATACAATATTTCTCGATCAAATTACTGATCACAATCAGTAAAAATAAGAGATGTAACCATGCCTCAAATCTTTGGAAATTAAACAACGCAATTCTGAATAACCCATCAGTCAAAGGAGAAATTACAATTCTGAATGATAACATTCAGAGCTGAATGATAACAAAAATACAACTTTGTACAGTGTAGCAAAAGCAATACTTAAGAGGAAAATGTCTAGGTTTAAATTATTATATTTGAAAAGAAGAAAGGTCCAAGCTACCACCTTAAGATTAAATCTAGGAGAAAAAGTAAAATAAATCTAAAGAAAGTTGAAGAAAGAAAATAATAAAGTTGATTTTCTGAAAAGATTTAAAAAATGAACCCTTAGGAAGACTGATCAAGAGAGAAAAACCAAATCACCAACATCAGGAATGAAAAGAGAGACATTACCATATCACACAGACATTAAAAGGGTAACATTCGGTTATTATGAACAACTTTATGTGGACAAATTTCTTGAAAAACTAAATATTAAAAAAAGAGAAAGGGAAAACCTGAATCGGCCAGCCCTCTATCTACTAAAGATGTTGACATTATAAGTAAAAACCTTCCCACAGAAGAAACTCCTGGCCCAGAACGTTTCATCAGTGAATTTAAGTAAGAAATAATACAGATGCTACACAAACGTTTTCGAAAATAGAGGAAAACAACAAATTCCAGTAACTGTTTGACTTCTCTAGTCACATCAGAATAAAACAATTCTCTTTTAAGTTTATGTTATCACTTTCGTTAGTTTATCTATTCATGCTGTAATAACCTCAATATGCTTTACTGTCAGATTTTTCATTTTCTTGAACAATGGACAGATGAAAACAGAAGTCAAACTTGCAGGTCATACTTGTAAGTCAAAGATAAAGAGGTTTTTATCAAGTATTATACAAACTGGTTTCTTGCTAAGGAATTTTATGTGTGTACTGCTGAGCTAGGCTCTAAATCTCTCTGGTGATCCACTTTTTCAAGATCAAATAGATCAATTATAAATAAGAAAAAGAGGAGAAGTAGAAATTAATAAACATCTCAAAATACTCCCTCCCCAGTAATTTCACTCAACTTCTTCTACTAGTTATATTCTTAAGAGCACCTCTCCCTTAAAGAACTGCAACTGAGGTAGAAAAGAGAAATAACTTATTAAATCATTCATTCATTCAACAAACATGTATCAAGCACTCATTACAAAGTACTGTCAGGTTAAGATGCAGTCCCTGACTTCAAGTGATTCAGGGACTCCTTAAAGGCCACTTCTAGGTTTATGACTCCATCTATTATCCACTCAACAAATATTTGTTGCGAGCCTCCTGCGCAACAGTCACCGTTCCAAGTGACGGAGATACAGCACTGAAAAAAAATAGTTGCTCCCAAGGAGCTTGCATTACGGTGAGACAACAAATAAAAATACTCTGTTAAGTAGTCAAAAAGGCTACGAAGAAAAATAAGTCAGAGTAAAACGACAGAAGGGCAGTTATTTCACACAAGGTCATGACGTTCAGATTCACATTAAAGATACTCTAGTGAGCAAACACTTCATCAGGACTTTGATTTATGCTCTCATTTAACTGCTATCTTGAAAGGCATCAACAGTCTCCACATGACTAAATAAACAGGATTTTCTCAGTCTCCATTTTGTTCATATTCCTCTAAGCATCTGACACTGCCGACCACCTCCATTTTGAAACTCTACTGGCTTGCATGACAAATTTTCCCTCCTGGTTCTTATCTTTTGCCATTGGTGTGGCATCAATATAAGCTGCACAATCACATATAGAAACTAAATTGAGATCTTCTCCTATCCACTCAGGGGAAATAGATGTTAATTGATGTGGAAACTGGACAGCACCTTGAGAAAAGACTAAATTTTGTTTTTAATTTCCAATAGTTTTTAGAAGATCATATAACAACGTAAAGACATTTGCTCACAGCACTGGAAAGTAATAACAACATTAAAAACAAACATCTATACAACATGCTATATTTTATAAAGCTGTTTCACATTTTACTTCATTTAATTCTCATAAAATGATAATATCCTATAAGGGAGGTAATAGTTCCATATTAAAAAGAAAATGCTAATTTATTAGAATGACATCATTAAAATGATTAGATTTAAATAATTATCCATTATTTTTCTTTAATATTCTGTTTTGGAAAATGCTTAGAAGTATAAGAAAAATGATAAAAAATAAACATCTCTAATACAAATATTCAAAACTAACTTTTGTTAACACTTTGGTATACTTAACATTTCTTCCTCCCATCAATATTAACTTTTTTTTTCTAAATTTTTTAAAATAATATTTTATTGTTTTTCTTGTGAAAATTTACATAGCAAATTAAGTTCCCATTTAACTATTTCTACACAAATTTTTCAGTGGCATTGGTTACGTTTTTCACAATGTGTCAACATTCTCATTATTTCTGGTCTGGTTGTTCCACTTCCAGTAATCTAGTTTCCCTGCACCATTACCTTCTTATCTTTGCTTTAGAGAAATCGCTGACCTTTCTATTCAGTGTAATAGCATTTTAACTGCTTCATACTAACTAGGAAATCAATATTCCCTAACAAAGAAGTTTGCTTTTTATTTAAAAAAAGTAAGTAAATAAGTAAACAGGGATGAGGGACCACACCAATCAAAATAACTCTGAAATCAAACCAAATAATTTTTACGATTTTTAAATTGAAATTTCAGAGTCACAAGTGGAAAAAGACAAAATAAAACACTAACTCAATAAATACTAACTGTAATTACCATGTGCCAAACAATATGAACAAACTATTATGCTCTTTAAGAAGACTGGATTCTTACCTGTTCAATCTCTTTGGTTTTTGATGCTATTGCTTTAGAGCGACTGGTTAGCTGACTGTCTTCAAATAATTCTATGCCATCTGTTGCATTTGACTCAGGTTCTTCTGGCTGGTTGATGAACAGTGATGCTGTGGATTCCGCCTTTAAAAGAATGAGAAATCTTTAATTTCTTTCTTAAAAATGTATAGAATTTCTGATGGCCGTGTATAAGCACTAACCGTCAGACTATATTCAGAGAAAGAACACAGTTTAACCTGTTTTAAGAAAACACTTTCAATTTCACTATGCATAATGGGCCTATGTGAAGATGATTAAAGAGGACGTGATTGCTACTTTTATTATTTTAGGTAAGACAAAGCCTCTAGGCTTATTCCATTCCAAAAATACATTTCACACTTCATTAAGATTCATCTAGATGATTTTGTTCCCTGACTATTCCTTAAGCAATCTATTTAAGAAACAGTGAGGAGAAAAAGTCCAATTAAAAGTTAGAGGTTTGTGCACACATAAGTAAATATATTAAAGAGAAGCATGGAAAAGGACTCTACTTTCAGAAGTAAAACATCTTGTTCCTGTAGCCTGTGAACTGAGTAAAGTTGCTGAAAAGAAAACAATCTCACAAAACAATAATGATCATTTCTATTTTAAAGCAGTAATTCATTAATGAATAAACGATCCCACAAAAAATCCACAGCTGATTACTGCACCTTCTGAAAACACTTTTGAAAAATTAAATGAGTAAGAAAAACTATTATGTAACTACACTCACTGTTTATTAAAAAATTTATTGACCATATATCTATGGTCAACTGATTTTCAATAATCGTGCCAAGTCCATTCAATTGGGAAAGAATAGCCTCTTCAGTAAATAAGGGTGTGACAATTGGATATCCACATTTAAAAAAAAATGAAGCTGAACTCTTACCTCACACCATATAGGAAAATTAACGCAAATGGATCATGCATCTAAATATAAGAACTAACAAACCCATAAAACTTTTAAAAGAAAACACAGGAGTAACGCTTCAGGACCTAGTTTTTGACAATGGATTCTTAGATATGACACCAAAAGCACAAACAACAAAAGAAAAAGCAGATAAAATGAATTTCATCAAAATTAAGAACTTTTGTACATCAAAGGATTTTCACCTTTGAAATTTAAGTGAAGTGGTGCAGCCACTGTGGAAAACAGTTTGACAGTTCTTCACAAACGTAAACACAGACTTATATGACTCAGTAATTTCACTCCTAGGTATATATCCAAATGACTTCAAAGCAGGGACTCAAACAGATTCTTGTACGCCAATGTTCACTGCAGGATTGTTTACAGTGGCCAAAAGGTGCAAACAAATCAAATGTCCATCAACAGATGACTGGATAAACAAAATGTAGTATATACATACAATGGAATATTATTCATCCATAAAGAGAAATGACGTTCTGATATATGCTATGACATGGATGAACCTGGAAAACATTACACTACATGAAACATGTCAAATTCAAAAGCACAAATACTGTATGATTCCACTTATACGACATATCTAGAACAAGAAATGCACTGAGACAAAAGTTTATTAGTGGTTACCAGGGATGGATGGAGAAGAGAATGGGGAATTATTGCTTGGTTTCTGTTTGGGGTGATAAAATTTTTTTTGAAAGCAGATAATAGTGACGGGTGCATAGCATAGCAAATGATACTAATGCCAATGAATTGTATAATTAGACTGGTTGAAACAGCAAAATTGAGTGACAAATGCTAACCACTGCTCTAGGAATGGTGGATACGTCAATGAATAGAACAGTCAAAGTTCCTGTCTTCATGTAGCTTGCAGCAAAAAAATGACTTAGAAAAAGCAAACTGTGAAGTTTGATCTCATTTATTTTACTGTCTGCATATTTTAGATGGGTGGCAGGTTAGGGGGCAGGAAATAAGAAGTTTGTGCTTATTACAAGTTTATAAAAAATTCAGTATTTTTGATTGAAGTAGTGGTAAACAGCTGTAGGCTTAGAGATATCAAAGGACATATACTAATCAGTGGTATTATCTTTTTACCAGTAAAAGTGGTGTCATCCCAATACTAGTGTGTTAGGAGTGTATACTGCCACAACTTCTTTGGAAGAGTAATCTGCCAGGATTTATCAAAATTTAGTACATGTCCCTTTCACCCAATAACATCACCTCCAGAACTTCATCTACAGATATTCACCATATTAGCAACAGATAATAAGATATAGCTGCCATTAATAGCAAATGACTGAAAACAACCTAGATATATACCATTACTGGACTGGTCAAATAAATTACGCACTATGTAGACCATGGGATACTAAGAAATCATTAAAAAGAATAAGGCCAATCTATATGTGCTACTCTGTTCTGACACACATGGGATCACCATGAGCTGGAATCAACTCGACAGCAACTGGTTTCCCTATGTGCTGTATAATATACATTACTTTTTCTCCTGGAAAGTCCTGGAGATCATTTCCTATCAATATACTGACAACTGTGTCAAAAAAGAAGGGGGGTAGGGGTGAGTATAGGTGTATATACACTATCTCTGGAAGGATACTATCTATGGAAAAAAACTATAAAAGTGGTTATCTCAATAGGGATAACTGTGAGGTAAGGAATAGGATGAGAGGAAGATACTGGATATACTCTGATGTCATTTGAATTTCTGACATGTTCAAGTATTATCTACTTTTTAAAAAACGTTTTTTGTAAGTCTGAGTTAGAGATTTAAAGGGATTTAAATTGAAAACATAAGAATCATTTAAGAAATAAATTCCAATATCAGTATCATGCTTTTAACACCAGGTCATTACATCCATATGATTATTTTGTAACCCTTACTTAGTAAGCTCCTAAATTACTAATCTCTTTTTGTCCCTGCTGCCAGAGAAGAAAATCTGTGGCTGAAAAGAAAAGGTAATGACACAAGGAATACAGGTGAAGCATGACTGTGGGACACGGGTGCACAGTAATAAGGGTATAACTTTTCCCGGCAGTAGACAGGAAATTATTTTTGGAAGGGTGCCAAGGAAGTTAAGATTATTTACACTACCTATATTTACAATACCCAAGACCAAATACTACTAGACACCACTTTAGTTAAGTCAGTGCAAAAAAATGAACTGTCAAAGTTAAAAATACACTCAAAATGGGAATTTCAGGCTTCGTCATAATTCTAGGTCTATGCACAAATTGTAAACTGATGAGTACAGGAAACACATCAGAACAAATCTGAGTTTCCGGAAAATGAAAAGCAAGTAAAGACAAGAAAAAAAAACTTAAATCAACAATATTTAAAGGCAATGAAAGAATTCATCAGTAATTAAATTTAGTTCAATTAATTGAATATTATCTAAAGTACTGTAGGGAAAACAAGGCAAGTTCTTGTCTATATATATATATGTGTGTGTGTGTATAAGAAAAAAATTAAAGGCAATAAATACAAGGTCATCAGTGAAATACAAAGTGGTATAAATTTTTACAATAGGTTGAGGAGTAAAGTGGAATCAAGAAAGATCTTGAGTTCTATTATCTCAAACACTACTGATTGCAATGAATGAATATGAATTTGAAAGAGAGTCATGGAAGATGAGCATTCTAGACTGTGGGGACAGAGTGATTTGAGGCCCTGAAGCAGAAAAAGAATGTTTATATATAGATACAACGAAGTTCGTATTTTCACATTCAAATGTAAGAAAAATGTCAAAATTTTCTACCACAGGAAATGACTTGTTCTACTGGGACAATCTAATAACCTTCAAATAATTTGCTTTTCATTCTGATAACCAAAAGCAAAACTCTCGCAGCCATTTGTTTAAAGACAGTCAATTATATCTATACAAAACCTGACTGCAAGTTCCTTGACTGCTAGGATAGTGTTTCCAGTGCAGTGCTTGACTAAGTAGATGCTGAATTAATATTTAGTGAATTTAAATTAACTACGAGAAAGCTAGTACAGTGTTTTTTCTTAAACTGTGTCCCTTGAAACACTAATCCTAAAATACACACTACGAAAAAAATTTAATAGTCAAAAGTCTGGTAAAGTATACAAACTCTATTATTCATCTTCTTTTCACAGACTACTGATGAACATATTAACATATTAGAATCTCTGGAAAGTGCTGAAATAGCAAAAGCAACCTACCTCTTTGAAGTCTAGCATTTCCCAAACACACTGGCTAACAGAAATCTTTTCCTTTCTGTGTATCATTAAGAAAAGGAGCCCTGGTGACGCAGTCGTTACAGTTTGAACCCACAAGCCACTCCGCAGGAGAAAGATGTGGCAGTTTGCTTCTGTAAAGATTACAGCTTTGGAAACCCTGTGGGGGCAATTCTAATCTGCCCTGTAGGGTTGCTGTAAGTTGGAATCGATTCGACAGCAACTAGGGTTTTCAAAAGGTATACCATAAAGACCTCTCAGAATTACTATTCTGTCAAATACTTTGGGAAATGCTCTATTAGAGCCCAAAAGGTAAAAGTACAAACTAGAAGAGCAATAAACTACATGGTCTCCAACTAAACTGTTTACAGTTATATTGATGGAAGCAAGAGAAGGTGAACAGAAAGCTCAAGTGTTCAACCTCTCTCTACCCATAAAAATAAATCTACACAGCATTTCTGAAGTACATGGACCAGTACTTATATGACTAGTATAAATAAATACTGTGACACTAGATTTAAACACACACACACACACACACACACACACACACACACACACACACAGAGGAAGTATACTAAACCAAACTCTTTTCTAGCATCAAAGTCCTTTTTTCTTCCAATTTATTCTGTCAAAACAGATATAAATTTCTATGAACAGGGCCAAATTCTCTTTCCCAAAAAGCACACAACACTGAAATGAGTGTTTAACAACTGCCTGAGAACAAATGGTACCATCTGAGCAAAATGTTTTAAGGTATGATGAGACTAAGTAAAAAAAATTTAAAAAAAAAGAGTATCATAAAAATTTCTAAATTATTTCTAGAATGAAAAAGTATCATTAACTTGAAAAACATTTTAAACAACGCTATGAAATTGATGCTGCTACTCAATATTAATGATGCATATCAAGTACCAAATATACTAAAGTATCTCCCTTCTACTCTCACTTACCACCTTGCCTTTGGTCCAACAAAAGATCACGTTTGACCTATGTCCCTACTTTTAAATTTTAGGATTATTTACATTTCATTAATTCAAAATCTAGCAAATTCCAGGCAAAAATTAGAGAAAAAACAAAGTCTTTCTAGACCCAATGTCACTGTATTCTGAGTCAAGCCCCATTCAAGCAATGAAAGAACATCGAATATTTAAAATCTGAGAAAGGTTGATAGCGAGATGTTACAAATAATTAAAAGGTGTAGCAAAATGACAGGTGAGGGGGGGAATTTATATACCTTAATAAATCCTTGCTAATTAAAGATGAAGTATTAAAGAAAAATTAAAATTAGTCTTTTGGAGATTTTTGGTTTTAAGTATTCCGAGAAAAACTGTCAGTTCTCCAAAATAGCAACTTTGAAGCACAAATGTCTATTATTAATATAAAAACCACCATTCTAAATTATTAAGAAAAGAACCAAAATTACAATACATTACTGTATTGTTCATGCTTTTAAATAGTGTGGGAAAAGTGTCAAAGAGGGACAGCTTGATTTTTTTTGATATATTTACTCAATAATATGCATAAATATCTATTATAATGGCTACAATAACAAGGAAACCTTGACCTAGTCGAGAACAATTGATATCTACATGACAGATTCAGCATTTTAAAAAAGTAAGGCTGTATTTGTGTAAGCACTGAAAGGGTTTGTACTTTCTTTGAACAGTCTCCGTTATTACTTTGGAAAAAATCTTTTCATCATGTATAAAGATGAAGGTAGGTATATAATTTTATATAAAATCCATTTTTATACAGAATTTTTATATTGATCCCTTTCATCAAAGGACCTTCCATAAAAGTCATCTAAAAACATATCAAAAAGCCAGAATTCTCCTTCAAATATGAATAATTTGTCATGGTGCACAGACTTTTATATTCTCTGCCTATGTTGTCAAAACAATTCATCTAGCATCAAATCCTGCTTTGATTAAAAGCTTAATTTTCACCATGAAACATCTTTGCCTATTAGAGTTATAGGTTGTACAGAATTTTGCAATTTATTTTCAAATATTTTAATACAAATATTTCATAAACAGTTCTCTATGAGTAAAACAATGCTCTCATTTTTTTTTTTTGGCACTCAAGATTCATCAAAGGTCAAAGGTAGCCCAAACTATGCATTATTTCATTTCTTGGGAAATTTATGACAAATTGTATGGAGTATAACATGCAATGTAAATATAGTCCAAGGTCCAATGTCTAATTCGATTTTTGTTCTTCATTCACTGGTTTATGACTAGTGGCTTAACATGAGTTCCTAAGATACTTTTATAACAGCAAAACCCATTACAAAACATGTAAATAATGCATTTTCCTTATACTACATTTTATATTATCCCTACAATCCTAAACTACTGGAGACATTCAGACACAAAAAACCAAAACCTGTTGCCGTCGAGTCAATTCCAACTCATAGCAACACTATGGGATGGAGTAGAATTGCCCCATAGCGTTTCCCAGGAGTGGCTGGTGGATTCAAACTGCTGACCTTTTGGTTAGCAGCCAAGCTCTTAACCACTGCACCACCAGGGCTCCTCCGCAGACACAACACGATTACTGAATTCAGAGTCATTCATATTTAGACTATTGCTCTGTCTGGTAAATTTTAAAAATCCATGAGGATGGTCTCAGGGAACATCTAGTTCAGTTGGCATAACATAGTTTATAAAGAAAATGTTCTACATTTTACTTTGGTGAGTAGTATCTGGGGTCTTAAAAGCTTGTGAGCGGCCATCTAAGATACTCTACTGGTCTCACCCTGTCTGGAGCCAGTGAGAATGAAGAAAACCAAAGACACAAAGGAAAGATTAGTCCAAAGGACTAACGGACCACAACTACCACAGCCTCCACAAGACTAAGTCCAGCACAACTAGATGGTGCCCAGCTACCACCACTGACTGCTCTGACAGGGATCACAATAGAGGGTCCTGGACAGAGCTGGAGAAATATGTACAACAAAATCCTAACTCACAAACAAACAAACAAAAAAAGACCAGACTTACTGGTCTGACAGAGACTACAGAAACCCCAAGAGTATGGCCCTCGGAAACCCTTTTAACTCAGCACTGAAGTCACTCCTAAGGTTCACCCTTCAGCCAAAGATTAGACCCATCAAACAAAACAAGAATAAATGGGCACACCAGCTCAAGGGCACAGACGAGAAGACAGGAGGGGACAGGCAAGCTGGTAATAGGGAACCCAAGGTCGAGACGCGGAGGGTGTTGACATGCTGTGGGGTTGGCAACCAATGTCACAAAACAATATGTGTATTAATTGTTTAATGAGAAACTAGTTTGCTCTGTAAATCTTCATCTAAAGTACAATAAAAACAAAAAATTAAAAAATCCATAAGGATATTTCCCACAAGTATAATATTTTAAAGTACTGAAAGTACAAATATTATCCCCTCAATAATTTAAAATCCAGACAAAACTTTCAGATATGAAACATAAAGGAGAAATTATACCTTACCTCATACTCAGAAATCTCAGGTAAGTTACTGTCATCTGCCTTCTCTAGCTTTTCGGCAGCCCACTTGTTGGCAGCCTCAGCAAGTTCTTTCTCAGTTAGCCTAGAGGGCTTGTCTAACACCTAATAAAAACAAAAGAACACTTCTGTTACAATTCTCAAGGGCTATTAAACTTCAAATACATGAAGAAGTACACTCTACTAACATTTAAAATCATACAAGCCTTCAAATTTATATGGAGAACAGATACATTCTTTATTTGCTTTCAAAAATATTCAACGCAGAACTCTTTTAAGTGGTAATTCCTTTGGGTCATTTAGACTAGATCTGACTCGCAATTTTATTTACACAAGATTTCAGAAGTTTATGAATAGAATAAAGCAAAAGACAGTGACAATTAACTCATACACTAATTGTATTTAGAATAAAAAAGACATCACATTAATTTCAACTGTGAATAATACCAACATTTCATCAAGGTAAATTTCTAATTAACGCAATAAAAAAAGTCCACGTGTGCTATTTACAGAATCTGTAATGTGTAATAAATTATATAAACTCTATTCCTTACACATGTCGAAAAGATAGCGACTTACCTAAAGTCACTAGTAAATGCTGAACTGGGACTTAAAACTAGGGCTTCTGGAAATGACCCCTGCCCTCCTTCCACGGCTTATTGAATTCGCCAACTACTGACCATCATAATATTTACTGGACGATCTCAGTGATATAACCACGTGGAGTGTATCCATAGACACTGAGGAAGCCTGCATATACCATCCCAAAGCTGTGCCCATATATGAGGTTACAAAGGAAACAAAGTTTTTTTTTAAAAAAAAAAAAAGTAAGAAGAAAACAAGAACACACACAAACACACAAACATATCCAAGAGAAGAATTTATATTCCATTTTTGGGTATCTGTTTTGAAGAGAAAGTTATAGAGCAAAAACAAGTTATTTCTAGAGAAGGAAGAAGCAAAAACCTTCCATGACTGAACCTGTTTATCTGCCATTTAATCCTGTACACTTGAAAAACTACCGTTTGAAAGTAACTTCTAACAGCAGGAAATAAACTCTGAAAAATTATTCCTACACAAGGGCTACAATAATGTTTAGGAGAAAAACTTCACCAAATCAGGAAATCTAGATTAATAAAGCCCCCCACAGCTACAATGTGACCCTGGGAAAAGGTCAAAGAGGCCTCACCTTCCCAGTATGTAAAATGATTATAGATCTACTATTCTGATTCCATTTTAAGACTATGATCTAAGTAAAAAAATGCAAACATCTACATGAAACTGCCAGAGAAAAATATACGAAATCTATTATGGTTGTTCCACACTAAATATATTTTCATATGTAGCACAAAGTCCTATGTTGTGACTTATATTTAGATTACATTATATTTCAGGGGAAATGACTATTTCATATATGCTAATTTAAACTTTCATAGTGACTTGAATGGGCAGTTATTATTTACTCTTATTTATTACCTGACAAGAAAACCAAGCCAGTACTTCAGGTGGGCAAAGCACCCTTTTTATGATAAGACAGAGTCAAAAAATCCAATAAATCTTTGCTATTCAAAACCCAGCATTCTAGAACCTTTGAACTTCTGGGAAAGCTCCAAAAATACAAACTGTCACTAAGAAACCTTTCTCCTTTTTTTCCTTTAACACCCAGCAAAGACAGCCAAGTGATGTCTACAAAACAAAACCTTAAGAACAAAAAGAAGTGACATCAAAGCTAAGAAGTTTCCTGAATACAATCAAACACTTTGAGGAACAGAATAGCAGGGGCAGGAGTCTGGGGATCATGGTCTCAGGGGACATCTAGGTCAACCAGCATAACAAAGTTTTTTAAGAAAATGTTCTCCACCCTACTTTGGTGAGTGGCATCTGGGGTCTTAAAAGCTAGCGACCAGCCATCTAAGATGCATCAATTGGTCCCAAACCACCTGGAGTAAAGGAGAATGAAGAACACCATGGACACAAGGAAAGTATTAGCCCAAGAGACAGAAAGAGCCACAGAAACCAGAGACCTCATCAGCCTAAGACCAGAAGAACTAGATGGTGCCCGGCTACCACAATGACCGCCCTGACAGGGAACACAACAGAGTCCCTGATGGAGCAGGAGAAAAACAGGGTACAGAACTGAATTCTAGTAAAAAGACCAGACTTAATGGTTTGACTGAGACTGGAGGGACCCTGGAAGACATGGCCCCTGGACTCTGTTAGCCCAAAACTAAAACCATTCCTGGAGCCAACTCTTCAAACAAAGATTAGACTGCACTATGGGACATAAAATGATACTCGTGAAGAGTGTGCTTCTTAGCTCAAGTAGATACATGAGACTAAATGGACAGCTCCTGTCCAGAGGCGAGATGAGAAGGCAGAGACGGTCAGGAGCTGGTTGAATGCACACAGGATATCCAGGGTAGTAAAGGAAGAGTGTGCTGTCACAGCATAGGAAAAGCAACTGGGGTCACAATACAATGTATGTATAAATTTTTGTATGAGAGACTAACTTGAATTGTAAACTTTCACTTAAAGCACAACAATAAAAAAAAAAAGTTATGGTAAAGAGAAAAAGTGTGAGATCAGTGAAGAAAACATCTAACTGCAAAGAACAAATGGCAACAGCACATCTCAAATTTTTAATTTTTGAGGACTAGAAGCACGGGTCATCTTTTCAACATGTTTTGGGATGCTGGGAAGGTAAGAATGAGAATGATATGGTGAAAGAGTAGCTATGTTCTTGAGAAAACTATTTAACTTCTTAGCCTTTATTTACTCTTTTGTATAATGGAGACATATATCTACTTACATTGTTGGATTTCTGTATGAATTAATAAAAGAAGAACATACTTGATATAGTGTCTAGCACTCAGTAGTTATACAAGAAATGTTAGGGCTCTGCCTATACCCCACCTTCCAAAATAAAAACACAGTCTATCAAATATGCACCATCTGAATATTCATTCCCACGTGATTATGTTAAAGATGAACAAGCGCAGCAGTAGACACTAATTTTAACTTAGCCTGTGGAAAAAATTCTGTTTAAAAAAAAAAAAAAAAAAACTGCTCAGTTACTTTGACAGCTACTTTTAAGTTGTGGTTACTTAAAATTCAGGTTTTTAAATGAAGAAATTATCTTCATTAGGTATGATAGTAAAGAATATAAGCACCTGTCCTAGACCATCCATCTCATTTACTTTGTAATTCCTCTTACACTGATTTCAGAAGTACAACAAACCTTTGATGAAGGAACTGCTGAAGAACTTGAGGGGGAAGTATCTCTTGAAGTTCTCAAAGGCTGGACAGGCCTCTCTTTACCTATATAAGAAAATATAAAGTGCAATTTTCTAGCTCATTTGTTTTCAGAGTGATTTTGTAACTGAATTGATGAGAAGCTTATATACTTATTTTAGTACTGAGATTTTCATTACATTATTAAATTAAATCTGTTATTATCTAAAACTACTTATTTCTCTCATGTGCTGGGCATCATCCAAAACTGAAAATATCCCAGAAAAAAGGGCATTCTATATGGCAGTCTAGGCCATGCGAATGCCAGTTAGCAAACATGAAGCCACAGAGAAGATCTCAGGAAAGACGAAACACACATTTTTTAACCAGGAATACTTCCTCTCCCAAGTTCCTAAAAGCCAAATTTTAATAAGTACAACAAAAATCCAGGGGTAGTTATTACTAGCTAGTTTTCTTTGGTGGTAGGTATCTATATAAGGAGTAGCTTCAAGGAGAGAGGCATGTAGTAAATTTAGCAGGTACTCCTGAAATGTCTGGACAGTTTAAAAAAGAAAATAAAAACTAGAAAGTTATCAAAAGCACTAATTCTGTAGCTGGTACTAAATGAACAAATATTGGTTAAATGAATAAAAATAAATTTGTATAAGATAAAGTCACTGACCTTTATCTTTAGACATTTCAGACACCCACATAGTTGTTATTATACATATACCATTACTTATAGAAATGTATACCATTACTTATAGAAATATACTTAAACTAAAAAATACATTTAAACAGTATTACTTTAGCAGGTTCAACAACAAAAAATGAGTTTAAATATAATTTTAAAAATTAATAACAGTGAGCTGTTACTGACAGAAAAACATTTCATTAAATTGTCAGTACGTGTCCAAGTATAGCATAAACCCTCTACTCTCAATTGCTAAAAGAATGGACAAAAATTAATAATGGAGATGAGGAGAAAGTGGCACCAAGTTAAGAGTCACACAGAAGCCAGTCAAGACTGGACAGTGGATTAAGGCTAGGAAAGCAGTCAAGAGCAAAAGCTGAGACACAACAACCTTGAAACTTAGGCAAAGCCTCAGTCAGTCAAAAACCACCTTAAGGGCTTCCTGCTGTAGCCAAGATACTTGCAAGTAAGGGCTGGAGGCCCAAAGGGAACTGCCTAGGGCAGTGGTTAATAACATCTTTTTCTAATCTCTTGAAAATCCTGAAAGTCTTTCTCTAGACCAGTGGTTCTCATCTGGGGACAATTTTGCAGCTTCTTCTCCTTCACCCACATCCCCTGGGACAACTGGCAATGTGTGAAAACATTTTTGATGATCACAACCGGTAGAGTGTTGTTGGCATATAATAAATAGAGGCCAAGGATGCTGATGAACATCCTATAATGCACAAGATAGCCCCTACAACAAAGAATTATCTAGCCTCAAATGTCAATAATGCTAAGGTTGAATACTCCTGCTCTAGGCTAAGTATTCCAGCTCTGAAGCTCCAAGAGTCTTAAAAAAGACGTAACTCGAGAATGATACAAGCCATTACCACATCCCCAAACGACTAAGAATGCTGTTTATTTCATTATTCCCTACTGTATTAACAATGCACTTGGCAAATTCTATATCATATTGTAAGAATGTTAATCTATTCGACTATACCTAAAGGTCCCAGAGAAACAAGCATCATAGTTTACTCATTTCTTAATACTCAGGACCTAACTAACAAGTCCTTGAAGACAAGACTCAAAAATTACATGAAAAAAATGAATCTTATTTTTCCATCTTTAGGATGCAATGACCTCCCCATCCTGTTCAGAGAAGCGATTCCTTAAAGGAAGATGAGCACAGCTCACTAGGCTAATCAAAGGCATAATTGCAGGCTCAATTCTGGCACATATCAGCTAGACATGTTTAAAAAAAAAAAAAAACTTTTTCACAAGCAGCTATTAATCTCTTACTTAGGGTGTTCTTTACAAACAAGACATAAGCACTGCAGGTATGCCAAGTATGGTCCCCAAGTGTATTCTTAGGGCATTCTCTGATTTTAGCAGCTTAAGGGCTAACCTGAGGAGCCCTGGTGCCTCAGTGGTTAAAGCAATCAACTGCTAACTGAAAGGTCAGTGGTTTGAAACCACCAGTGGCTCCATGGGAGAAGATGTGGCAGTCTGCTTCCACAGAGATTGATAGCCTTGGAAATCCTATGGGGTCGCTATGATTCTGAATCGACTTGATGGCAGTGGGTAAAGGCTAATTTAAGCAGATTTCAACCACTCTCAGTGTGCAGAAGCAAAGGAACATTGACGGGTAGGGAGGAGGTTTATCATATATCCACATATATTCATACATACCTGTTGCATGGGCGGGGGTGGTACACAAGAGGCAAGGACAAAGGAAAAGGAGATACAGCAGAAAGAGCACAGAACGATGCATAGAAATCCCCTGATACTACTGTTGTAAGGGCCTATCTGCCTATGGCCTGTCTACAGATCTCAACCTCCTGTAAGGTGGCTATTAACGACCACGGACGATTAGCCCAACCAACAAACCCACAACTCCCCTCAAATACTACTGCCTGAGTCAACTGCTGTTCAACTCTGGTTCTGACGATAGACTGATGGAGAGGATATATACTTTTCCCATTCCCATAATCTCTATCAATCCAAGCCCCCCAAGCCTTCACAATCCCAAAGCAGAATCTAGCTCAAAACTCACCTCTTTCTGGTTTTCCTTCATTCTGCCGTTTGTAGGAGGCACCAGCACGCGCGAACTCTAGGGAAAGGTGGGCAGGGAGGAATTAACACCAGCACCTCTGTGCCCAGGAGGAAGAAGAACCCAGAAGTAGAAGCAATGACAGTAACAAGGACTTCTGAGCATTTGCTGGTGACCCTAAACTCCTTCCTATTCTGCCTTCAAGCCGGGCTACCTGAGCAACCACCACTGAAGAGGAATAAATAACAAGAGAAAATCCCTGTTTAAGGCCAGAAGTTAATTGGGTCCAACGGCAATAGAAGTGTTAAGATGAGGCTAGCCAAGGATAGCATGGGCAGAAAGGAATGAGGAAAAGACTGTGGTTAAGATGAGACACTGAAAGTTGAAGACAGGGATCATATCATGTCTTAATCATCTCTGTAAGCACCTAGTCTAATCTCCATAAAGTCAACATTCAAAGAACTGGTAAAGGAGGACACAAAAACTCAATGAGTGAAAGATGAATCACCATGAGAAATCAGAAAGAACACTGGGAAGGTTTTACATGGTCTACCAGTTTCCTGGGCTTACAATGGCTATCTGCAGATAGTTTTCTTACTTGTTCTTAACAAGTAGCCTATTATTAAATCTTATACATGGATTTTCTTTATCAACAAATCCACAGCTACTATTTTGGTTGAATCCCTAATGATTCCATATTTAGAATCTTGTAAACATTTTGTTAGCTTCCTTACCTTTAAACTCTTAATGATGCAGATGGAATCAGCTTTCTAAACAGCCTAAATATACTAGTAGGGGCTCCCAGATATCTTTCCAGTAAGATGTAAACTCCTTAACACTTATTGCAAGTCATCCTATTATAGATCCAAAATTTTGAATTTAACTTTGTTTCCTCCCAGAATATAACACTTTTTCTGAATCGTCATGGCATTGTCAAAACCTCGCAAGGAAATATGTTTCAGGAAATATCACGCAAATATTGCTGTCCCACTTTTGCAAGAATGTTCTTCAGGATGCAGTATTCTTCTCTCATTGCTCACTGTTCTCTTTGGTATCAAGAAAGTCTTCATTGCTCCTAAGCTGCTGATTTGTTTTTTATCTAGGGTACACTGGGAACACTATTATTGCTTCTTTCCTCTTTGCTTTGGTCAAATCCTTAGTTCATCTATTGCACCTGTTCAGAGCCTTATGATACCATTTATTTCATGCACTACTAACTTTAGTCTTAGTTTGATTTTCCTCTCCTTATTTTCCTTGTACATAAAAAAAATTCATCAGCCATTTATTTAGTCCTGTTTTAGTAAGTGTTCATTTTTTTAAGCTGCCTCAAATCCTTTGTATATGAGGTCAAGAGATAATAATACTGATACTTTTCAGGGGTGAACTAGAGCCTGAGTCCAACTTGTATCAGGCAGTGAGAGCAGACTGTATGCATCTCTCCCAAACGCAGTGTTTAGTGACTCCACATTGGTAGGCTGAAATTGGCCATGGCGGGGGTATTCATTCAACAGATACCAGCAGGAATTGATTGCTAACCCGTGAAGGAACAAAAAACACAGCCAGGAAAAAAATCACTGAAGTTATCATTAGAAATGATAAAGCTAGGGGCCATGTCTTGCAAGTAAATTCTCAATATAGTGTCTGACATGATAGGAATAAAACAGATATGTTTGAATGAACGTCTCATCAATAAATACACAAACTTCACAGAACAGGTAGGACATTAATCTCTCCTCTGAGAGTTGAGGTTTTGAAAGAGAAATTAAGATATGAACAAATGAAGAGCTGGCTACATAGATACTGAGAAAATGATCTGTTTTTCTGGATCATGAAATTTAGGGTTCTTGGTTAGAAAGAACATGATTTTCCAGAAAGCTACTGATCTATTCAAGAAGGTATGAAACAGACAATTGGCGGGGGGGGGGGGGGGGAACCACACACTAAAAATGTTCCTGTGTAGAGGGGAAAGAAAGCTCTGCACCACTGCTGCTTCCCCAAGATAATCATCTTTAGGAGGTCAAAGATACAGCAAGTTGAAGTAAAGGCCTACTGACTGAGTACCTGGTAGGGCACTTCTGAATAGAACTCTCTCTTAATACATCAGCTAAAACCACATCGTCTCTTTTTTATAATATAAATAAAACATTATGTCATCTGCATATATCATGAATGTGTGCTACTGACCAGACCATACTAAGTCCTAGAACAAGGATATGAATGCCATCACTCCACCTCCTACACATATGGTGGTGGTTGTTGGTTGCTGTTGAGTCAATTCCAACTCATAGCGACCCCACGTGTGCAGAGTAGAACTGCTCCATAGGGTTTTCAAGGCTGTAATCTTTTGGAGGTAGATAGCCAGGCTTGTCTTCTGAGGCACTTCTGGGGGGTGTGAACCATCAACCTTTCAGCTAGCAGTCAAGTGCCTAACTGTTTGCACCACTCCGGGACTCCTTACATATATGGAAACATCATTAATTGATTAATGTTTTAGAACCTCCATCATTTAGATGCAGAAAAGTTATAGCTCTACTCCTGGGATTCACTCAAGGAACTAATAGCCAAAGCTCTTTTATGAGTAAACAATGGCTCCTCAAACAAGAAATAGATTATAGAATCTAGCACAGCAGCACATTAATAGCCTGGATCAGTTAACTGCCTTCCGTGAAAATACTACATTATACTTCAGGAATTTCACATGATACAGTTCATCCCAATAATCCTTCTGCACTGGCATCCTTCCACCAGCTTCTACGCATCCTTCAGTTATCACCTTAAATGTTTATTCCTATGTATTACTTGTTTGCCTCTCTCACTAGACCATCAACTCAGAGGGCAGACGACATTTGTCTTGCTTAAAAAAAATTTATGTTCAATATATCTTTGTTGAATAAAAGACTGAGTATTGAACACAAACACAGTGACTTTCAGATCAAGAAATTTTATGATATTCAGCTGCTAAGAGAATGGTTTTATCGTCCATTCCCACTGCCTAAAATACATGATCTGATGATAAAGCCTTATTATCCATATTCCCATTACCACTTTAAACATGCACAGAAGAGCCTTTTCTCTAAAGTCATAATTAAACCTCAAAACTTTATTGGAACTTCAGCTATATTCTAAAATCTATATAGACATCAAAATTAATTCAAAGGTGACTGGTCTTAAGACATGTCTTTTCCCACTATACTGAAGTTCAATACTCAACTTTATCTTTCAAATATATTCTTCTCAAAATAGTATTTTTAATTCTTATATATTTTCATTATCTTAAAAGATGTGTTTTTAAAAATAATTAAGTGCTGATGAATAATAAGTCTTCCCTTAAAATATCTTCTATTCTTAATAGCTGCTGATATCAAGAAAATAAGGGGAGGCTGAGCCCAAAGTCAGAGCCATAGAAAAACAGAGACAGACCAACAAAAAACAATAAACTTGCAAATCTTCCATAGTACTGATACTTTAAAAATTTAACCAAAAAGGCACACAACCTAATTAATACATGAATATTACTGGTAAATTTGACATTAATCCCCAGCAAATGCTTAAAATGAATAAACAAAGAGGAAGTTTATAAGTACTTAAACAGTCATCCCTGTGAGCCACAATGGATTTACAAAAACAAAGCAAGGCAATTTTTATATCACCATTTTGACAGAGGACTGTTTTGTGACAAGAGTTTCAAGAAAACATTTGACAAAGTCTTAAATGAGACTCAGGTGGAAATGAAGACAAGATTGTTGAGTAACAGCAAACGATGCTGATAAACGGTTAAGGTCATCAGAGAAAGGTCTCTAGGGGTTTCTATATTTGACTTTATGCTAATCGATATAATTATTAATGATTAATACAAAAGACAAAGGCATACTTAATTTGCAGATAAAACCAAGCTGTCTTTATCTGCTGCTAATATATAGGATCACTAAATGATACTGTAAGGAATTAGAACAGAATAGTAAGTCAAAGTTAATTAGAAGAAATTTAGAATTCCTAGATTTAAAAAAAAAAAATGCGTGAACTGCACACAAACAATTACACCTAAAATAAGTACAGGCTGTAGGGCATTTTGTATAACAGTTACATGTATGTATATATATATATGTATATATAATATATATATGGCTTAGGTTTCATTTGCCTACAATCTCAATAAGGACCAGTAATGCAATGTGGTTACCAAAATAAAAGCTAACTTTTGGCATTACAACTTAAGAGGATGAGAAGGAAAATTAGGAAAGCAAAAGGTCTGGAAACCACATCAAATAAAACGAACAGCTGAAGGAACCAAATAGATTTAAACCTGGAAAAGAATCATGAAGGATATGATGGTACTCTTCAAATACATACAAGGTTACAACATAAAAGGAAGAATATCTTTATATGTATAGCTCTAAGACAAACAACTAGGATCAAGTAGATGTTACAGGAAAAGATTTTTAATTCTTTTGTAAAGAATGAGGTATAAAAGATGGAAGAACTGTATTGTGATATAGTAAATTTATCACAGGCAGTACTTTAACAGAGAATGGGTGTGGGTAGGAGACTAAAATTCAGTGAAATCTAATGTCCCTTTTGATGATATTAGCCTTGTTGTTAGCTGCCATCCAGTCGATTCAGATGCAGGTTGTCCTAGTTAACTTTAGTTTCTTCCTCTTGTTTATTATGATAAATACTTCTGTAGTTAAAAATTGTGTTGTTATATATACCTTGAAGTTTATTTTTATCCCAATTACTCTAACTCAACATCTTCTCCACATTTGTCCTTAACAAAAAAAAATAAATGACAAAAGTATACGACAGGAAACCAATGGGATTCGGGGGCGGAGGGGGAGGTGGGAGAGAAACAAATATCAAATATCTGAGAGAGGGGAAGGGAATGACAGTAACTAGGGCAACCTGCAAGGAGCCTTGGTGACACAGTGATTAGGTAACAGAAAGGCTGGCGGTTCGAACAAACCCAGAGGCACCTGGGAAGGCAAGCCCGGATACCTGTTTCCAAAAGGTCACAGCCTTGAAAACCCTTTGGAGCAGTTCTAGTCTGCAAACAGTATGGTCAAACCACTAGTGATCACTAAAATAAGTAAAATGACTTTGAAAAGCATAAATAAGAAGCAAAAAATTACAAGTTAAAGAATTAGCAAAATGGGAGTGTAAAGAATAAGAAAATTATTTACCTGCTATTTATGAAACCATTTAAAATATTTGTCAAAATTTTAGTTTACATTAGAAAATCAAATTAGCACATTATTGCTAATTAAAACAGTTTAAGTGACTAATAATTGTAAAAACCTGTTCTCAGTCAGTTTCTGAAGAAAAGCAAGGTACCAGCAATTTTTGTGACAATTAAATTTAAAGTAAAAATTGGTGTTATAAATATGTAAAATAAATTATTTTCTCCATTTGTTTAAAACAAGATTGCTCTATTAACTTTGCTAGATGATCTTATGTAAATATTCTAAAAACCATCTACATGAAAGGAGTGTAGTTCGGCACAAGTTAAGAAATCAACCAAAGTAAATTGTAAGAATTTTCCCAGAACAAACTTTTTTTTGATTAAAGAACATCACTTTCAAAGCTAAATGACTAAAGAAACAAACAGGAAGGCATTAATAAAGTCGTATGTTCTGTTTCCTTCAATTCACACCGCATTTTAAGTCTCCCAATTTTCTTTGTTATCTTTTCACACTCCAGATACTAAAGGTCTAAGACCTCAAAGGACAGGAAAAGCATACAGGAGACTCTAAGACAGGACATCTCATTATGGCTTCTCCAGGTTTCCTCTCATGATTTTAAAATTTTGGCCACTGACCATGAGGCAGAAAGCAGATGAATAGAGAGAAGGTACTCTCCCTAGAAATTTCTGTTTTAGAGGAGAAATAGAAAAAATAAGGCTAATTCACCAATGACTACCTTAACTAACTTAATAGCTTCACTACAAGTTGTCAAGTACGAATTTCAAGTTTCCATTTTACTCACTTTTTTTACAGTTGTCCTAATCCACCTTTATCATTATTAAATTTGGATTTAAGTCATGTTTTTAGTTTCTGTTGACTCTGACTCACAGTGACCTCATGTATAAAGGATACACATCCAAAAAATATGTTCCGGGAAGGTATCTGGCTAATTTCAGATATTTATGTCTGTGCATGCGAGTATGCATTAGAGTTTAAAGGTTGTTTACTTGTCTGAAGGTTTTTTGGGTTTTTTTTTTGGTGGGGGGTGTTGGTGGGAGAGACAGTAAAGTGAGGAAATACCTGTTAACACTGAGCTCCACAGTAAAATTCCAGTTAGCTAGAATTATTCAGGGCAAAATCTAAGCAGTCAGGCATATGTGAGTGGCTATGCTTTGTTTTAAATGATGTTCTTAACTCCTGCATGACTGTTTGTACACATGTATCCAAAAATACGTTTTTAGAGCCGCTTCACCCTACCTAGCTAATAGACAATTGATAAATGTTTGCTAAACAAAAGTATCCAGCAATAATCACAAGGGAAGACAATCTGATGACCTGAAGTGGTTCTTCCATCTTTCTTCAACATGCAGGAGGTTAAGGCTGTTTAAAACTATAAAGGTTTATTAATTGAAAAGTACAGTTAATGGGAAGCAGGGTAAAAAGGAAAGAAAAAGAAATATCCAGGACTTTTCTGGCTTCTGCATCTTGATTCATAATTCCTTCTCCCTAGAACTTTTCTAGCTGGAAACATCTTAAATAAAGAGTAAGTCCAAGTGCCACTTCCTCCACACGTTCTTCCATCCCCAGAGTGAGATTTAATCCCTCCCATCTTGACGTGTGCATGCCATGTTCACTCACTTATGACATATCAATCCTCGTACCGAAGTTATATATTTCATATATACATGTATCTTTGTCATTTACATATTGGTAAAGTTGTTATATAAAATACTCTAGCTGGGATGGAAATTATATATATATTTATATTAGTTCCTTAGTAACAGGGACATCATTATACCTAACAAATGCTTGCATATAGAAGGCACCAACGAATGTTTTCTGAATAAGAGTCTGGAATGATAATACAGCACTTTACCTGGAAAAGAGGCTGTTCACTGATTTATCCCAATATATACTGAGCAACTCAGTCAGGATAACATGCTATGATTGCACAGAATGTCATGTATATCCAGGCACTCCAAAGTGAAAAGAAAAAAAAGTTGAAGTTGGAAAAAAATGAACCTACAGTAGGGGTTCAGCTCTAAATTCTACAAAGCTATACCCTACATTTAGGGGAGACCACTGATACTTACAATGAAAAACAGACTGTATCAGATAAATACAGATATCACCTAGTGATAGAAAATTAAAAAAATTTTACTGGCATGGACACGAACAGAAAATATGAGAGTGTATGACTTTCAAACAGGATTAAAATGAAATTATAAAATTAGAGATGAAATACCACAAAGACTGAACTTACTTCAAATGGTCCAAAAAAAAAATAATGTGTGTGTAATGATGATAATATTCTTTCAACTTTTCCATAAGTTTAAAATTTTTTTAAATAAAAAGTAATTTTTAAAAAGTATCACAACAATTGTAAGGCATCTGAATTAGCACATTCTCATTAGAGGAGATTGAAAAAGAAAAAGGAAAAGTCCTAAAAATACATACTTCTATGTTGAGACTGATGGAAAGAATATGTTTTGCTTCTTTCTGGAGAGTAGCTTCTACTGCTGACACTGGAGCCAGACCTGCTGTGTGGAGAGTCCTTTCGGCCTACAGGTGATTCTCTGAAAAAAGGATTGTCCCTTTTATGAGGAGACCGGTCTCTTGCATAATGGGAAGAGTAGAAACTTTTTCTTCTAAAGCCATCTCTCACGTCCCTTGGAAGAAAAAATAAAATTAATTAATTATACCCTATAACCTATATATGGTGAGCCCTGGTGCTGCAGTGGTTAAGCGCTTGGCTGCTAACCAAAAGGTCAGCAGTTCGAACCCACCAGAGGCTCCATGGGCAGAAAAACGTGGCCATCTGCTCCTATAAAGACTACATCCTAGGAAACCCTATGGGCAGAGTTCTAGACTGTCCTATGGGGTCACTATGATTCAGAATCGACTCAATGGCACACAGCTACAACAACTTTGGAGTCTCTGGGTTGCATAGATGGGTGAGCACTCAACGACTAGCTAAAAGATTGGCAGTTTGAACCCATCCAGAGGTGCCTCAGAAGAAAGGACTGGTGATCTGCTTTTGAAAGGTCACAGCCCTGAAAATTCTATGGAGCAGTGTATTCTGACACACATGGGATCACCATGAGTCAGAGCTGACTCGACAGCAACTAACAATAACAACAGTAAAGTTTTATAAAGCAAAACCATCTTTAAAACGACAAAGCAAACTAAAATTATTAAAAGAAACTATCAGGACATGAGCCTCTATTAAAAGAACACTTTTAATTGAAGATTTAGCAAATGAGTACATATTAAAATTAAAGAACACTAACTTCAGTCAGAAGCATGCTAAAGGAAACCAATGGCCTAGATTTTCAAATGTCTGGCAAGTAATTTCAGCACATTGATTGGCAGTCCCCCACACATAAATAGGTAGATGTCCTAAAGTTTATTTGAACATTAGCCGATTAGTACGCAAAATACACTGCCCATACAGACAAAATTAAGTTTCCCTGGGCAAAGGTAGGAAATAGCTAAGTTCATTTATGACAAATGAACTCTGATAGAACACTAATATTGAAATAAAGCATTAAAGAAATTCTAATACATTCAAGTTCAGTAACTAAAACTACAGGAGTCATACTGAAATCATACTAGTTAGCTGGAATGGCTATATATGTATTAAACAAATAGGTTTCAGGAACTATATCAGGTGCTGCGGACCCAATGGCGCACCAAACGCACACAGGCCCTGCCATCCCAGAACGCTCGGGCTAATAGAAGAGGCTAACTTCAAACAGATAAACATAAAACATGCATCAAGAGTGAATGCAGGAGACTAATGAAGAGCCTACATAATCCAGGCAAGAGACAGTAATGGTTTAGGTGGGGTGGGGGCGAGGGGATCACAAACTTAACAAACACAAAAATGTACCTTTGAAGGTAGATTTAATGGGACTAATGAATGTGAGAGACAGGGGTGCCAAGCTGATTCCCAGAATTCTGGCACAATGAGTTACGGAAATGTAAAGGAGTAAATTTCAGAAGCAAGGGTGGGATACCAAAAAAAACCAAACCCGTTGCCATCGAGTCGATTCTGACTCACAGCGACCCTATAAGACAAGAGTGGAACTGCCCTGTAGGGTTTCCAAGAAGTGACTGGTGGATTCGAACTGCTGACCTTTTGGTTAGCAGCCAAACTCTTAACCACTGTGCCATCAGGGTCCAAGGGTAGGGTAGAAGATCCAAATTATAGGCCGGAGCACGTTACGTTTGAGATATTCATGTAACATCTAGATAAGAAGCTAGAGGTAATGGAAGCTTAGAAGAGAATTTCTGGCTATAAATATAAATTTGTCTATAAATAGGCAATGCTTAAAGCCATGGCTATGGAGAGGATAAAAAGAGCAGAGGCCACAGAACCTAGTGCTAAAAAGCTACAAAATTAAGAAAGAAATGGGCTGTTGAATAAGCGACTGGTCAAAGAAACATGATGAAAACAAGGGAGAAATTACTACCAGAAAAGCCAAGGAAAGAGCGCTCCAAATCAAATGAGCATTTACCGATAAATTTCTCAGGGCATGGAGAAGAGCAGGCCCACAATCAGAGGAAAGATTGCCTACACTCTCCCAGAGGAAGAAGAAAGACGAAATGCTGAACTACAGTTTCCTAATTCTGTCACCAGATGGCGGTAAAATCACAGCACAGTTTAGAGCTATCAGAGTGGCCTGGGGTGGCTGGACATACCTGGCAGACATACAAGTCCAATCAATGTTAACAGCTCGGACTAGACTATGTCTCTACTCTCCTTCCCATCAACTCCTCCAACCACTCACCAGTTTAAGCAGAAAACCATCCTAATCGCCATCATTTATCTTAAGTATCCTCTTTGACAATGTGGTAATATTAGCCAAGTCGTTTCCCTGCTAAGATGTATTGAGGGCCCACTACACGAAAGGCACTATGGTGAACTGACCTTGCTCTACAGAAGTTTTGTATCTAACGTAGGCGGTGGAAGGAATAGTGTAAATGGTCAGGGAAACTGGTACTGTAATTCAGAGGGGAAATATTAGTAGATAGAAAAATGATCTGGGTCTTTAAAGAAGGGTAGGATTTAGATCAGAACTATGTCTAATAGAAATATAATTGAGCCATATATGTAGTAGCCATATTTAAAAAATAAAGAGAAACTGGTGAAATTAATTTTAATATTTTACTTAAACTAACATATCCAAAATATTATCAACATACAATCAATATAAAAAAATTTAGTGAGATATTTTACATTCTTTTTTTCTTCCTAAATCTTAACAATCCACAGTGTATTTTGTACTTACAGAACATCTCAATTTGAACTGATCATATTGCAAGTGCTCACTATTGGACATCACAGATTTAGACGGTGGGAAGAGCATTACAAGCTTTAAGAAAAAGCAGAAAGGGATTAAACAAGAACAGGAGAGGTCAGAAAAGTGAGAACCTTAAAGCAATTGTAAAGACTCTTGCAGAAATAAGATGTGTGTTTATGGCCAGTGTGGCTAGAGCCAGGAGCTGTGCTGGCGCAGTGGTTAAAGCACTTGGCCGCTAACTGAAAGGTCACTGGTTCAAACCGACCAACTGCTCTGTAGGAGAAAGATGCGGCAGTCAGCTTCTGTGAAGATTTACAGCCTTGGGAATCCTATGGGGCAGTTCTACTCTGTCCCGTAGGGTCGCTATGAGTTGGAATCGACTTGACAGCAATGGGTTTTTTTTTTGTTTTGATGGCTAGAGCACATAAAAAGGAAAAGGTGGGAGGGGATGAGATCAGAGAGGTAGGCAGGGGTTGCAGTTTGCCAACCTCTGATCTAAACAATTATTTAGTTCCTGAACATGTTTAGGCATGATTTATTAGAGAATTAAAAAGTCATCTAAAGCTTCATACTTCTAACAGAATATGGGTTTTTTGTTTTTTTTTAAATATGGGTTTTTTGTTTACCCTATCCCTTGCCAATATCTTTTGATTTTTGTGCTTTAGACATTTAATTGTATTTTGGAAAGCAAAATTAATTGAACAATTGGTAGAAATGTGTTCTCACTGATTCACATTTTCTTTTTTACCAGAGATTTGATTTTATAATAAAAAAAGACTTTCTCAAAATGTGTTCCACAGAACACAAAATATTAGCATTTTCCATCCAACCACAAAACCCAAAAAGGAGTTCTGTGATTAAATAACGTTGGAAAATGCTGAGTTTAATAAAGCTAAGCACATTTATTTACAGTGGGACTTCTTAGAGCATTCCCTGCAGGCAGTTACAGATTCAAGAATCAGTTCATCTACTTAGATGGCCTTTTGACCTTATGCAACTTAACCTCTCTGAGCTTCATTTTCCTCACCTAGTCTGAACATAGCAACTTTGCGTATCTACAATTACAGTTTTTATTTTAGTCTTTTTATCATTAGGTTACCTCATTTTTAACTTTCCCCCAACACACGAACTTTCAAGGTTTACAATATCTTACATAACTTTGAGACAATTTGGGGAGAAGGGCGATCAGCTCTTTCTTATAACTTATGATAAACTCAGGTGGATTAAAAAGCTAAGTGGAAGGAAGGAACAGAGAAAAAGATCCAAAAAACTACATGGAAAAAAAACACTAAATATTCATAAACATACAGGAACCATTATAGAAAATACAAAGTTTTAACTACATACAAAAAAGTCTCTAAAGTTTAAAGTTATGATCAGATTTAAAGCAAATTTCCAATGAAGGGGAAAAATTCCAATATCAATGGTGAAGTCTTTAATAGTTATTTATATTTAATAATTCAGTGAATGCTGACAAAACCACTAAGAATAAGATGAACATGCCAATAAAGATAGATAAAAGATATGAAGGAAATTCAATGGAATATAGACAAAAGAATGCATTATCTTTTACTAAACAAATATTCAAGATAACCCAGGGAAAAAAATGAACAAAATTTTCCTATCAAATAGGCAAATGATCCCATCCACTAATAAAAGTGAAGGTTAAATAGAAACTTGAGCTCCACCATGAATAATAAAATTGGTATGGATTTAGTGGTCCTAAAAAGGAAACAAGATCATTGGTGGTTCAGTGGTAGACTTCTCGCCTTCCACGCAGGTGATTCAGGTTCGATTCCCAGGCAATGCACCACATGCGCAGCTACCACCAGTCTGTGGCGGCTTGCATGTTGCCATGATGCTGAACAGGGTTCAGCAGGGCTCCCAGATTAAGACAGACTACAAATAAAGGCCTGACAACCTACTTTTGAAAATCAGCCAATTAGAACCGTATGGATCACAACGGTGTGACCCGCAATTGATCATGGAGATGGCGCAGGACCCAGCAGTGTTTGGTTTCGTTGTGCATGAGGTCACCATGAGTAGGAGGACCTACTTGATAGTGGCTAACAATAAAAATGAAAACACTATCTCTGGTCCATAAAACAAAGCTAAACTTCCAGGGTCCATACATGAAAAGAATAGTAACAGGGTTATAAACATCATTCTTCTCTGTCAGATGCCTTTGCTATTTTCATTAAGAAGTTTCCTTACTCCCTGTATCTGTATACATCTGGTTTTTTCCAGGCTCAGTGTAATTTCACAAAATACTGAATTCCTTCTTTCACTTGGCGTAACACGTAATTGTTTAACATATTTTGCACTTGGTTTCAAATGTCAATCGTGAGGTTTCTGTCTTTGAG